ATTTCATTTTTACAAGTTGTTTCATTTTTTATTTCTTTTACAGTCTTTATGATCCAGTCTACTTTTACATCAATGACTGATCCTTTACTGCCACTGCTTGGTGTTATGAACGAACCTGTAGATTCTACCGATCCTGTAGATCACGGATGCCCAATTAGTTAGTCCGAAGAGCCAAATTTCAAATTTTGAATATTGCCCACTAATATTAAGTTATTGCCCTCTTTGCGTTACCCAGGGACCACCATGTGGAGGTGAGGCAATGATCATCCCCATTTTTGTTCTTTTTTTATTTTTGTTTTTTTTTGTTTTTTTATATATTTTTTTTGTGCTTTTTGTTTTTTTATGTTTTTTTAAATGTTTTTTTTATAATTTTTTTATGTTTTTAATTGTTAATTTAATGTTAAACAAAGTTTACAATATATTTAATTATATTTTTATGTTTATATATGTTTCTAAATAAAAACTAATGTGAGAAGTGCGATTTTCTGTCTTTAGCCAACTTGGTAAACTCAGGATTGTAGCTAGTAGTAGCAGCAACCAAACAATCCTCAAGATGACGATCAGTTGGTCGGTTTCGAAACTTGTTTTTCACATAATTCATTTTTGAGAATGCAGCTTCGCAAATATAAGTTGATCCAAACATTGTCAGTACAAACGAATTTATCTTTCGTAGATTAGGATAAGTTTCAACGGGCAAAATATCAGTCCAAAACTTGGTTATATGTGTTTCTTGATAACTTTCTTTTAATACACTGCTTTCTTGTAATTCGATAGTTTCCAGCTGAAGCTTGGCTTTATCAATACCACTGAAGAGATGCATAGCTTGTGTAACCCAGTTACCGTTGGGTTCCATAGAAAACGGAGTCTTTAAAGCAGCGAGTAAATCAGAGATTTGATTAAATTCTGAAAATCGCGAAGAAAATTCGATCTGCACTTTTTGTAAAAACTCGACAAAGATGTCCATGCCAATGTTTTCATTAGGATTGTTTTCAATATGAGCTTTCAATGAAGCAAAATGAAGCAATTCCTTTGAATTTAAATCATTTTCGAACAACTGCAATTTCCGCTGGAATGCTTTTATTATTTCCCACATATCGCAGAGAACCTTATTCTTCCCTTGCAAATGTTTGTTTAGTTCATTAAAATGGGAAAACACATCATTCAAAAAACAAATTTTGCCAACGTTCCTTATATCACTCAAGAATTCGAAGTATTCATTAGCAGTCTTAGTATTTCTGGACTCAAGAAAACTGCGAATTTCTAGTAGTAAGCATATTAATCTGTTCAATACATTGCCTTTACTTAGCCAGCGAACATCATTGTGAACAAGCAGATCTATGTACTCGCTTTCACATTCTTGCAAAAATGCTTTTAGTAAACGGTGTTGTAGAGCCGAATGCGAGCGCAGATAATTAATTATTTTCATAGCTGCTGTCATGATATTCTTAAGATCACCAGAAAATTTTGCGCAAAGAACAGCTTGATGAATTATGCAATGCAAAGCAATAATCTTGTAATTTCGATTTTTTATGAGTGTAATGAAACCATTAACCTTACCAATCATAGCCGGCGCACCATTAGTTGCTATCGAAAGAATATTATCAAACGAAAGATTGTTAGACTCCATGAACTTTTGAAAATTTTTGAATAGTATTTCACCGGTTGTGCGATCATGAAGTGGCAATAATGTTAAAAGTTCTTCTTTAACTTCACTGTTCCAAAGATATCAAATATAAACTGCCATTTGCGAAATATCAGAAATATCAATTGACTCATCAAGTGCAAGTGAGAAGAATTTTGCTTGCTGCAGATCACGCAAAATGTTTTCGTGAACTGATCTTGAGCAAGACTCAATTTTTCTAGTTGCCGTGTTGCGCGATAAAGGAATTTTTTTGAAAGTTTCGGATACTTCTTTTTTATTTTCAAAAAGAGTATTTGCGGCTTCAAGTAAGCATGATTTAATTATTTCTGAGTGAGAATAAGGAACCATATTTTTCGCCATAATCCAAGAAATTCGTAAAGAAGTTTCAGCGCATTTTTCTTGCTCAGTCAAAGCACGTTTCATTATTAAGTTTGATTGTTCACGTGACTTTTGAAGCGATGTTATTTTTTCATTACGTAGATCAGATCCTTTTGGATACTCTTTGTCATATTTAAAAGCTGTTTTGTATCGTAATGTCGTTTCAAATTAGCGGCCTTATTAACCGCCACCGTTTCATTACAAATTAAGCACGTTGGTTTGGCATTTTTGTTATCAGGAAGGATGAAAAAATATTCTTCAGTCCAATGCAATTGAAAAGCTCGATTTTCCGAATCAACTTTACGACGCTTTGGCTCGGACATTTCGAATGTTAGAAAAGCGAAAAACGCAGGATGCAACTAGTTTTGAATAAAATCGAATTGAAAATAGCGATAGAAATAAGCGGTAACCAATAATGCCAGAAACTAAGTCCTCGATAGCATGCAATAGCAGCCGACTAAGGCAAGATCGAAGTGATCCAGCCGACTAAGGCAAGATCGAAGCGATTCGTAGGATGCGTATTTCTCGAGATATTTTGATGTCTCAAGTTAAAAAACTCACCCTGTATATATACGATTCGTGCTTGTTCAATGATGCCAGAAACGGTCTCGGCGTCTTGCCCGTCTCGGTAGCATGGGATAGTATGTGGAGAATACGATTATATTTGGGAGTACGGTTGCGCGTGCGGGCCGGATTGAAAGGCTGCGCGGGCCGGATTCGGCCCGCGGGCCGGACATTGGGCACCCGTGCTGTAGATGATGTCCTATCTTTCTTCCTGTCGTTGTCGGCATTTTCTTCATGTTTGTATCTTTCTCACTCTCAACCTGAAACTCTTTGAATGGGCCTTTACACGGCACGTATTCTTGGTTCCCGTCGAGAATTTTATGCTTACTAATACATCCCGGATGGTAAAAAAGCTTTGAGCAAGTTTTACATTTAACTACTTTGCTCTTTATTGCTTTCCTGCACGCCGAACATCGATACTCTGCATATTCATCGTCCATGCCGATAATTACCGGGCGAAACCGTTAATATCAGCCTAATGCGATCAGTTACCTGTGACCCAATTTCACACGTCAGCACTATTGTGTCCACATATAATGTCTCCCTGTCTTTCGAGACTTCGATATCCCGAACAATAAATTCACTGCTCACCTTCACATATCGCCATATCCCGGCTAGATAACTTTCATAGCTATCCCCGGTCTATAGCTACGTAATTTAAACAACTTGTTTTACGTCTTCTCTCACTATTTACCGGTGAAAAACTTAGTATTTCGATGAAGCGATGTGACACACGTTTTCTCAGAAAGGCAGAGAGAGAGGAAGAGAGAGGGGGAGAGGGAGAGAGAGGGGGAGAGAGAGAAAGAGAGGGGGAGGGAGAGAGGGAGGAAGAGAGAGAGAAAGAGGGAGAGAGAGAATAAATTACGTGTAAAATTTTTTATTATATCATGAAGTTACATGCGTAGATACATACTTTGAGAATAATATCGGTATTCGCGATTGTTTCGTCTCATTCGAGCGCAGTTATACGGATAAGTATACGGTTCGAGATCGATATCGCGATCGCGATACATTTATTCGTCACGCGTAGAGTTTTACAAATTGTGATAGAGTCCGAAGAACAGAGCGTGTAATTCGCAGTCGATCAGATCGTTCGTGTTGAAGTGCTCGTGTCGACGAATCGCGTCCGGAATATCGCCGGAGTGGTCGGTCTCCGTCGCGATATCTAGAAAACGCGATAACTTGGCGTCTACGGTCTCGAGCATGCCGGTCAACGACGTGACGATGCGATTGACGCATAGCTCGAGGGCGAACAGCGCCTTCACGGTGGAGTGCGACAGAGCGATGCGATTTTTCGGCGTCTCGAATCCCAACGTCTTCAGATTGTTTATCTTGCCGAATCGAAGCGTCACGGTTCCGACGATTATGGACGTCGGAGGGCCTCGTCCAAGTCCTTCTCCAAATACGGTAGTATATCGTTGCGCAGAGCGAGCAGATCCTTCCACATGTCGGGCGTCAGAGATATCTCCTTTCCATGGCAGTCTCCTAGGACGATGTGATTCGCGCTTCACGGCTACAGCGATGTCGATGTATTTGTACGCCATCTTGGTCAGCGGATATCGTCTTCTCAATATGCGAATCGGATGTTTCGCGAAATTGATCTCGCGTTTGAACAGTCAATTTCTATTCCACCTGTAGAGATCGGAGAAAAAGACGACGCTATTATATGAAATGGTCGATGGCGTCGGAAATCGAGAGCGCTCGGACGAGATGATTCGTGAAGCATCGCGTATATTCACTCGTCCTCGGTGTACAGTTGAGCTTTCTTGATCACGGGTGGAGTGTCGGAACGATCGCGGGTGGTATCCTCGTCCTTGGCGGAAGCCGCGTAATCGTCTCGATGGTTAGGCGAGGCGACGAAGGGGCCCGTCATCGGCGGTGCTGACGGAGTCGCGGGCGTCGCGGATGGGTCCCCGAACAGTCTGCGGTACTCCTGTCCGAGTCCAGCGAACATGATCGGTCTCGCGAACAAGGCTTCGATGTTCGTAGGAAAACACTGCGGTGATGGCGGTGGTGACGGCGTCGTTAACGTTGATTATCGCGAGAAGAGAGAGAGATTTGTCGGAGACGTTCGCTTAGAATCGGATGGGCATTAATCACGAGTATCGTTGGAAATGTCGCGCGCAGCGATTGAGACGCGCCTTATATACGACGCGATCTCGATTGTCGTTTCGATATCTTTTTTTTTCGACGTGTGCGTTATGCGCGTTAATTAATGCAGCGGAAGCGGTTTAGAACAGCGGTTTAAAACAGCATATTAAATGTAATCTTAACTCCATAGAGATTTCGCACGCTTATGACTTATGTCCTCTATGCTCAGTCTCGGATATCGCCTTTCCTCTGAAGGCGTGTACGCGTACATAACCGAATCTTCCCTCATACTGTGAGTCAAACCTAGAATGGCCGATCTCGTGCGTCAGCGTTTCTGAAGAAGATACAGCTTGTCCGACGGGGGCCTGGCCAGCGTGATGTGCCACGGCTCCGTCTCGTTGACGTGTACCTCAGTCACTTGATTGGGCGCTCCGGTCGGAAAGAACGCGTGAGCGACGACCGATCTCGGTCCCGTGAACGGCACCCGTGGCGGCGGGCACGAGTCCCCGCTGTTCTCGTATGCGTGAGCGCCGGATTGATAGGATATCAGTATATCGGGTTGCAGCGGGTCGCGCGAGAACGTCAGAGAGGATTGCTTGGACCACAGAGCGAACGCGCTCTGAATCGTGCGCAGAGTATCTCTGTTCGCTAGTCTGAAGTTCCACATGAGATGCGTTCTCGGCCACTTTCTCGTCAATGGGCTGTAAGCGTGAATGTCCGCGACGTCGCATCGCGACCTGCGCATGACGCGAATCGTTTCCACGATCAGAACGCCGTTTCCCGGCAGACTGTAGTATTTCTGAAACAATGATAGCGCTTCGTTCAGGGTGATCGCGTTGTCCAATGACGACGACTGCTGATGATTCTCCTCGTTCTCCAGAAAGCCGTAGGTTCGAAGATAACAGGACGCCTCCGCGACGTCATCGTAGGTCAGCGTCGCCGCGACGGCCGTGAGCAGGGATATCGTCAGCGCGAGCGATAAAGCGACGGGCGTCATGACTCTCGCGAGAGGCGAGCATGGGGTCGGGATGGTAGCGAACTATCGCGTGCGAGTCCTTCGGCGATATAACGTTCCTCGGATGTGCGAGAAAGACGATCGAAAGAACGAACGTTTTTAAAAAAAAATGATTCTTTATTCGTACAAAAGTTTGAGCGATCTATGTATACTTATACAATGCTTTAATATATAATGTTTTAATATATAATGTTTTAATATATATAATGTTTTAATATATAATGTTTTAATATATAATGTTTTAATATATAATGGTTTAATATATAATGCTTAATATATAATGCTTAATATATAATGCTTAATATATAATGCTTAACATATAATGCTTAATATATAATGTTCTAATATAATGTTTTAATATATAATGTTCTAATATATAATGTTCTAATATATAATGTTTTAATATAACGATTTAATATATAACGATTTAATATATAATGATTAAATATATAGCGATTGAATATATAACGATTGAATATATAATGATTTAATGTGTAACGATCTGTAAAAACGACCCGTGAAACGACCTGTGAAACGACTTGTAAACGACCGGTAAACGATCTGTAAATGACCTGTGAAACGATTTGTAAAAAGAAGCGATGAAACAAAATTCATATACTCAAACCGACGCGTTCGTTTATTTCGCTTATATGCGACAATTTTTATTCTTAGAAGAATTTAATAATTTTAAATTTCAAAACGACCTTTGAAACGACCTGTAAAACGACCTATATATTAAATACAATGGTGTTACGCAGGAAGCGTAAGAACCATGAGAACAACACTCGCTACATGCTATCATATGAAAGTTGTAGAACCTATACAGGGTCTACCAAAAGTGTGGAAACCCCTAAATATCTCGGAAAATATACGTTTTACAGAAAAGTGTTTCCAACAAAAGTTGTAGGGTTTAAGAAGATCTATATACTGATTCTATCAGTTTGACCTTGGATGGCGTCGTCAAGGTCAGGTCAAGGTCACATTGACTTTTTTAAATGACACCCCCTACATTTGATTGCATATTCTTATAGCTTAATTCAAGAGCTTTCCAAAACACTATAATAATGTTCATTTTATTAAGTACTTTGCGAGTTATGAGGGTTGAAATAATTTCTTAATTTTACATAAACCATAAAATATCTAGTAAACCATTCATTTTTCGATTATCTTACCTTCATACTTTTATGTACAAATTAATGAGAGGAATCAATTGGTGTAAAGAAAACACATAGTTGTTTCTAAGAAAAAATATGTAATTTGCAATTAACAATTCCATATTTTTTCTTAAAAACAACTGTATGTTTTCTTTACACCAATTGATTCCTTTCATTATTTTGTACATAAAAGTATGAAGGTAAGATAATCGAAAAATGAATGGTTTACTAGATATTTTATGGTTTATGTAAAATTAAGAAATTATTTCAACCCTCATAACTCGCAAAGTACTTAATAAAAATGAACATTATTATAGTGTTTTGGAAAGCTCTTGAATTAAGCTATAAGAATATGCAATCAAATGTAGGGGGTGTCATTTAAAAAAGTCAATGTGACCTTGACCTGACCTTGACGACGCCATCCAAGGTCAAACTGATAGAATCAGTATATAGATCTTCTTAAACCCTACAACTTTTGTTGGAAACACTTTTCTGTAAAACGTATATTTTCCGAGATATTTAGGGGTTTCCACACTTTTGGTAGACCCTGTATATTGAATACAGCGGTGGTATTGTTGTGCCCGACGTGGCACAGGGTGTGGGGTAGCCGGGAGTTTCAAGTTAATTTCCTGAATTTGATTGCAACTCTTTATTATAAAATTTCTCTCACACAAATATGTTCATTTATTCGATATTAGTCAATTTCTTTTCAAGCTTCTCTTCTTAGCCTCGTTCTTAGATTTAGAGCGTCTAACAATTTCGTCGAGTTATTCGTCGCACAATATAGCGGTTAGCCCTCGGTCTCGCACTGTTAACGATTGATTTATTATTTACGACTGTCCGCCGCGGATTCGCAGTGGACGACTTTTATTCTCTCGATTTTGAGGATTTTTTGGAGGGGATCGCCTAGCGACATGACCATGTATGGTCATGGAGGTTTTTTCATGGCGTCCAAAGTCCAAGTGCAAGCGAAGGAGGTTCAAAGTTCCCTTCCCCGTTAGCGTTTTCGCGTTTCCGGTGAACGTTCTTGCGTGTGGTTCGCTGAGTTAGCGGTTTTGCGCGGTTCGCGACCGCTATATTAATACTATCAATAAAATAATAAGTTATATTCTCTCGGGCTATAACAGTATTCAGGAAGCGTAAGAACCATGAGCACAACGCTTGCTACATGCTATCATATGGAAGCAGATTGCAGAACCTATATATTAAATACAGCGGTGTTACGCAGGAAGCATAAGAACCGTGAGGAGGACAACACTCGCTACATGCAATCATATAGAAGTTGCAGTTACATTCCGTCATATGGAAGTTGTCGGCCCTTTAAAACGACCATAAAAGTGACTTATAAATGACGTATAAATGACCTATAAAAGTGACTTATGAATAACCTATAGATGACCGTGTAACCGAAAGAATGCACCGACACGTCCGTTGATCAAAGATTGTCTGGAACGCGTTACTAATAAAAACGAAATCGATTCTAATTCAAACGTTCGCGGAAGAAAACTAAGATGCGAGGTAGCGAACAATATGAACTGAATAAGTCGAATGGAATCGAGTTCTATCGCTCCCAGATCGGCAGTGGTCGGCAAAATCTGAAGAAGCGTTCAAACGACGCGCGCAAGGGACGATGCGGGCGGAGATCGGAAGTGAGGGAAGGCGCTGTCTTTTGGCGTTGTCCTTCGGCGCCGTCCTTCGGCGCCTGTCCTTCGACGTCGAGATCGACGAGACGTCTAAAATATATAAAGCGCCGTATTAATAGTTCGTATCGAGATACGCGAAACGAAAGAGCGGCGCGATAGACGAAAAGAGATCCGTACCTCGTTTAAAACTTGCTGTTGCCCGTGAGGACGGGGCTCGCGTCGCCGTACCATATTTCCACGGGAAAATCGTCGTCGTGGAAATCTTCAATTTTGAACATGTTATCCGAGACGAGCGGCTCCATGTCGAACAATCTTCTCAACCGAAATATGTCGGCGTATATGTTAGGTGAGCGCTTCTCCCATTTCTTATAGGACGGCCGGTCACACCACTGCGAATCCAAGAATCGACGTTGCTTCCGTCTTATCCGCTGCGTCCAACGCCGATGGTATATGTTTACGAATCCTCTGATCTCCACATCCTTCTCGAACTGTAAAAAAAATGTCGCGCGATCAACGACCGTCATATTTTTCCTCGAAGGAGAGCGAAAAGAATAAAGAGAACGGTGATGAAAGGGTACTTACGTTCCACGTTACCGCTATGTTGAGGCTCGCGTCCATGAGATTCTTGATGTATTTTATTTTCCAGGCGCACATCCACGCCATGAACATGCATCCGTGAAGCGTTCTTCGCAATCTCGAAATCTCATCGTAGCTCATCGTTCGCGCGAAAAAATAACTCTGAGAATGAATACTGAGTGCACTGGGAACACTGGGAACATTTAGATCCCTATTTTGTAACTTGTTATTGTACGACATCGTTATACTAACGACTCTCTTACGAATGATTGTTTAATGACAATTTGGAAAAAGTTATTCTATAAGCATGTCGTTCAGGTACGAATGACTACCTCTGCTTAACGACGTTTTTTAGAAGGTTGGTACTATTTTTCTATAGTATGTGTAATGGAAATCAGATTAGATTTTCAATGTTGGTAGATTAGATTTTCAAGATTTTCTCAGATGATTTTTTCAGATTAGATTTCTCAGAAGATTTTTTCAGATTAGATTTTCAATGTTGGTAGTATGTCACAAACGGAAAGCAATTTTTCAAGAGCAGCCATCCGGTATAATTTTTTAAATAATTCTTCTGGAGTTTCAAATGGATTACTTGCATCTCTCAAGTTTCTATTCAATCTCCTTAATTCTTGTTTAGAATAAATTATACACATAAAATAAACACACGTGCGAGCAATAACATACTATATATCTATATCGGAGTGTAAATATATATATTATATATTCATATTTAATTTTAACACATATTTATTATATTTAATAAACACATATTGAAACGCTCACCGATTTTGTAATTCGTGTAATATTACTTCAATTAATACTCGATTCACGTTCATCCTTTTATTATAATTTTAAAAAATAATTTTTTTTATTTGTGTATGCGTGTGTGATATGTAATTTACATATATCACATTTCTTTAATTGTTGAAAAGAGAAAAAAAGTAATTACACATTAATAATAACGTTTCTCATTAATAAAGTTATGAATTAGTTTTTATCTCAAATTCTGTTGCAAATTGTAAATTATTTTAAACAAGTTTGATTTTACAAAAAATAATTTCATATGTCTATAGTTGAATAATAATATAGTAATATGTCTATAGTTGAACAATAATATAATAATATGTCTATAGTTGAACAATAATTTCAAAATTAATTACAGCAGTATTAAATACAGCGGACTTACGCTATTTGAAATAACTCCTTTTTTTTATTGAAGACCGATGTATTATTAATTCGCACAAATAAAATTTCGACTTGTCATGCGGATGTACCATAGTAGATCTCAATATTATAAGTTAAAATGTATCTTATAACGACATCATTTTATTTAACAACACCTCTCTGGCTGTTGTTAAGTTTATGACAATTTCGTCGCCATTTTATCATTAATTAACAACAGTTACTATTTACAGAATAAGAAAAGTCATTCGTTAATGACAATCGTTACATACAACATCGTTAAGGCTTACAGAATAGGGGTCTTAGAATACTGAGCGCACTTAATAGCGCGATCGCGAAACTCGTTCTGAGGAAAAACAATCTCTTGACGTTAATTTATACCTGTGATATTACTATCGTAGAGTTGTTATAATTCTATCGAATGCTA